GAGCAGTGGAGGCAAAAATTCTCTCTTCCCTTGGAAAGGGAAGGACTCTCTCAATATCACAATTCAGCCCTAAACAGTAGACTCTCAACATCACCAGAGGACTCTCTCAACATCACAATTCAGCCCTAAACAGTGCCTTCAATCTGCTATGGCTATGCAACACAATAGCAAGAATGTTTTATAATTAAAATTTCATATAAAATATTCTTGTACTCTCCCCATACTAATTCCTATTTTATAGTTAACCTATTGCTTGTGCTGCTAATATTTGCACTATATCCAAAAACTGAAACTGCATCTTCATACTCAGATGAAAACAAAGTAAGTAACTTGAGGTTTACAGCATACAGTTGTTTAGGTCAACATACATACAAGGAGACCCACTCTCTGTGACCTCTGCGACCCACTCCCCCATGCAACGCCCTCCCCCTACTCTTAAGATACATGTATTTTAGTAGAACATATACATTTCCATACAAATAAAAATACCAAGGCAAAATGTTATGAATACAAAGAGTGATAGGAGCTGAGTGACTAATTTAAACAGTGGAGGATGGAAATGTCATCCATAACCACCCGATACATCCCAGACTTTACCTTGATGCTCCAGCCATTATCAATGGCTAGTGACTGTCTAGCTTGATCCGCTAAAGACTTACAGACTTCTGTCACAGGGATCAAGAAAGAGCAGCTGAAGCCCCACAGGGTGGTTGAAAATTCAATGATCCAGGTTCAAAACTCTTTGACCTCTAGATATCTAATGTGTACATCTGTTAAATGCTTCCTAGTTTGAGGTTTGATCCAACAGACATATCCAGAATTATACAAGCAGTCCTTTATATTCCTATCTCACTAGTTATCCCTAATTCCCTGTAAATGAATTAGAGCATGTCCATTTGCATGAGAAAACTATGGCTTCGAAAAGTAAAACTTCTCGAGTGCTATCATACAGTTTATAAATAGTAGAGACAGGATTAAGTCAGAATGAGCGGGCACAAGTTCAATGGTACATCTTTTGTTTTACAGAAATAAATAACATTAAATATTCAGTCCTTTGCAAGTATGACGTTTGCTTAATTTGTAACTATGCCATTGCTATGAATTATCAAATTAGTAATTCAAAATGATCAACATTGGATGAATATTTTAAAATCTTTTAAAATTTGCAATTATATACATAACCACCTGTTGAAACAAGGTCAAAAAAACTAGTGATCTAATTATAGTTATTTATCAGTAATAAGATACAGTTTCACTAGAAACAAAGCCGAATTAGAGCAAAGAAATAAAAGCCATTCTTTTGTGAAAACAGTGATATTGGGGGGGGGGGGACAAACAAACATGTATTGTTTGATTATTGCTTTTTCTGGGTTTGCTTAAAGTGAAATCAAATTTGGCTTTTATTGATGTTACCTTCAGTTCAACTATTTTCAATTTTCAAATTCCTGAAATGAAGGCTGAGGTTAGCAAATAGAAACATTATCTTAATTGCTTTTGCAATGTTTCAGAAATTGTGCTATTTTCAAATTCTGTTAATTTAATAACAGTAGAGGAATGACAATGAGTAAGCAGGTCAAGAATCTGAGAAGACTCAATGATAGAATTTAAGCAGTAAGCGGAGCACTTATTTCGTAGCTTGCTTATGTGTGCCAAGTGTGGTGAGTGTTTACGGTTCACTCCACTGTACTCTATTTCAGAAAATTCAAAGATCATTCCTGATAGATGGCCTGACTTACTGGAAGTTAAGGCTCTAACTCCATATATCCTTGTTTTTTTTAATTTAGGAAATATTTACACATTTTACAAGATAGCAAATTCAGCTTCTAGAACAAGTCAATTATAAAATTCTGAAAAAAGAAAAATAGTAAAAGTAGTGCCCGGGAGTAAAGCAGACCTAAAGTATCTGAACAAACAAATGCACTGTGCAGATCTTACTTAGATTCTGACTTGAGCAAACCAACAATAAAATACTTTCAAGACAGCAATGAATTTGGTTATGGAACTGGCTATAATACTATATAACCTTGTGGAAAGTTGATTAAATGTTCATAACAAGTTGGGAATTTGGGAATATGGCTTTTGCCATACATAAGAAAATGTTCATACTTTAGAGATGGATCCTAAGAAAGGACAAAATTACAGATATGGGATTTGTTTTAAAATATTTCAGGAAAGTAAGAAAAATAAGTGACAGATGAAGTAAATGTCAGTACTTAATAATCACTGGGAAACTGAGTAATTTCCAGGGTACTGGGAATTTATTGCTTTTTTATGGAAACTTAAAATTCTCAAAATAAAAAGATTTTACAAATTATCCACACAATTTTAGATGTGGGGTTACAGTTATAACTCTGGCCCCTTCAGACCTGTGAAGAGTCTATGATGATCATCACAAACTGTATGAATAATTCTTTATGGATAAGGTTAGGTTAGTCTGTCTTGTAGTTTGTTTTGTTTGCCATTCATTGTGGTTTTAATGAACTCCAACCAGAGTCACCAAAAACCCTCATTTGCCAAAATTTCTGTGAAGGATAGCCCTGCTTCCATTCTTGACCTTCCTAGTGATTCTCCACTTACTACCTAGAGTTATATTTAAAATCGTAAGTCCAGTCATTTCATTTTCTCATTTTCTCCTTAAAACCTTTCAATGAATTCCAATTTCTGGAATAAAATAAAAAACTATAAAAGTCCTATGTTAACTACTCCTTATCTCTCTCTTGTGTTGCTTCTCAGCCACTGTCAGCATTCACTGTGCTCATGCCTTTTTGGCATCTTTCAGTCCTCCAGTGGCAAAGGTCTGCTGCCTGGCCAGTCATACTCCCAGAACTGGTCACTCTTCATGGGACATCATCTCCCAACACTTCACAAAATACTCCCCTACACATTGTTTTCTCCCTTAGATAAACATTTCTTTTGTCTTTTCACAACTAATTTGAGTTTGTTTCATGTTTGTATTTATTTCTCACTTCTTCATGTATATTGTTCACCACGGTATAGCTAATATTCATTCAGTGTATACTGAGCCAGTTATAAGACAGCTCCTGTCAAGTTTCTAGTTCCATAAATATCATGAATATACAATTTACCTTTGAATTATCAGAATGAGGGACTTTGGTGAACATTATCTAAGAAGTTAGATTAAACTTCAAGGAATTTGAAGTTAGGGTAGAAAGGACAGGGGGCATTTAATAGGAGAAACGTCAGCGTGTCGTAACAACTAGGCTACAGAGCAAAACTCTACAAAGAGGAGAGGTTGAGGCCACTGTGGATTCTTGCTGTATGTAATTTCACCAGCTTCCATGTCCCTGTAACATTGCTTCAGATAACAACCTGACTTCCACCCTAGTTCTGTGCTAGTAAAGCAGAAACTTGGCTAACAGAAGGGATCAGGGATAGGTTCCAGACAACGGACTGGGAAGTCACTCCCATGTGAGGGGCTGCACACTGGCAGAATACATGCAAGAATATACAGGTCTATTTTATAAATGAAGACCAGAGAAGTTATTAACCAGTCCCAAATCATATAACTACTAAGTAATAAAGTCAGGAGTTTATCTCAGGTCCCTCTGACTCCAAAGTCTAAGTTCTTTCCAGATACCATGCTTATAAAAGTCACAAAAACAAATGCTATAAAATTTCACTTACTCAACACTCTTGGGAATGAATCATGCTGGACAGATGAGTAAGGAAAAGGCCAGCTTCTAGGAAACAAACTTCTAAGGTTAGAACAGAGACTTCAGAAGCCTCTGGAGAAGAAGCTTTTCCTCCCTGCATTTGTTTCCCTTTTGGGCATCTGGCATTTGAAACCCAGCACACCTGGTATTGAACTGAGATGTTCTCCCTAAAATATCCAGTAAAAGATGACCATAGATCCCTTTTTTTCCATTTTGCGCACTCAAAGCACAAATGACACATTGATAATTAAAAATTAAGAAGTTTAGTACACACTAAGAGATGACATGAAATATTTACTGAAAATAAAACCAGTATGAAAAGTCAAATTTCTAAAGCACAGTTTCTGATATCAGATTGGGAAGTCATCCAGTGCTGAATCTCAGAACACTACCATTGGTCCTAGAGGGAGACAAGATTCTGCAGGCCTTCCATTCATTAATTTCTCAGCATATTGCTAACTCCAGGTGGCAATCAGTATTTATCTTGTCTTTAGTCTTAGAAAAGTTTCTAAATTCTACTTTCATATCTAAAAAGGGAATAGTAAAATTATTCACCTCATAAGATCAAATGGGGAGACTATAGAATATGGCACATAATAAGCAATCAAAAATTATTTTTGTGATAATTTTTCCCTTCTCCCATTTCTGTACCAGTAATTAATAATATTGAAGGTGACAACAGTAACGACTATAGCTAATGGTTGAAATTCACTATGTCCCAGGCACTTTTCTAGAACACTTCACCAATTCAATCCACCATAATCTTATAAGGTAGGTACAATGGCCACCTTCATTTTATAAGGACACTGAGATACCAAGAGGAAACAAGTCTCCCAAATTCAAAAGCTGGGACTCAATCTAACCAGCCAGGCTTTAGAACTAACACTTCTAACCACCATGTTATACAACATACACAATGAACTCTTCAGTGCTGAAATTACGCACCCAGACCTACACGGATTCCTCCACTGTTTTCCTTTTGGTTCATCTGCAACCCTAGCTAGGGCCTATTAAGATGACACTATAACAAAAAAAGATAGAATTAAAGGACATTATAAGAGTTTACAAAAAATAAAAAAGAGCCTACAAGTATATCCAATCATATAAAGAGTTGTAATTTATGATGAAAGATGCAGTTGTTTTATAATTATCAGTATTACTTGAGTTCTTAGAGTTCCAGAAGCAATTAAGAACATGTATAAAACTAGTTTCATTTCTGGTAGTATTAGTAAGAATAAGTAACTTTGCAAAGGAAGGGATTACATATAGGAGCAAGGTTTTTGTTTACTTTAATGTCAGTTAAACTGCATTAAAACAATAACTTACCAGTAAATAGTTAATATTTTCCGTTGTCATAGGACAATGATTAAGAACAAGAGTTATGAGCAGGCATGGGTGGAGTTTCCACAACATGAATTTACTAGTTGTTTGAACTTTGCCTTTATGTCTTCTCATCTATAAATGGAAATAATGATATTTATCATATGGGGCTATTGTTAGGTTTATGTAAGACAAAATAAGGTGCTTGGTATGGTTTCAGTTCATCATAAGTTTTCAAATTTTTTTGTATCTCAGTAGTGGCTGCAGAGCTTGCCATTTCGGACTGAGCTATGATTCACTTAAACAGTGCCACATTGCTAAACATCTGGACCATTTTCAATAATAAAAATAATTGTAAATATTTCCCAACAGGGTTAAATCCTATATGTGAGTTGGTGGATCAAAAGGTATCAATTGTAAATTTGTGACACAATTATCGAATGATCTACCAATATAATAATGAGAAGTTAAATGATAAGCTGTGTTGCCAATAATAGACATTACTTTAAAAATATAGTAGTTTTACAGGCCTCCAAAACCCCCAATTATTATTTTACTAATTAGAGGTTTCAACATTTCCTGTTATATTAGAAAGTTATCAGACTCTGTAACTTAAAGTATGAGATTGTCCAAGAAATACAGCAAGAATTAGAGTAGCTAAACATTTTGATGTAGCATATTATAGACATAGCATTTAAAGTCATCTATGAAAACATGAATTTTTTTTAGTGGTTTCAAAGTACTCTCTGGAGCCTCGCCTGTGGGGAGTGTTATAGGGGGTAAGGGTCACTGGCAGGTTGGAATAACTTTCATCCTTCCCTAATGCAACCACATTTGTCTGTTTTACATATTGAACTTACTGGTAAGTTCATCTAAAGAGTTCTGTGCCTAAAAACAAAGCCACAAGCACATTTTTTGCAAAGGTTTGAGATAACTGGTATTTATTTTGCAATGGATAGAGCTGGATAGATAAAGCGAGTTGGATCTCTCCCACACATCACATACAAAAATACATTATCAGCTGAATTAAAACAGCAAATGGAAAAGAATTTCCATAAACTACCAGAAAATAGAGCCAAGCATCAACTCCTTTTCAAGCCCACTGATAGAAGTAGAAATGATAATGAGGGGCACTAAATGTCTGTTGTTCTTTCTGAAGTGTGTCTTTAACCCAGATTCAAAATTATTTTAGAGCAAAGAACTATGAAAATTCTGCATACCAGTAAAAGCACCACAAGATGGCTTAGAACACTAACACTCCCACTATCAGCATTTTCAAAATATACATTCTAAATAAAATAATGTGCAAAACAAACAAATGTAACTGAAGGACATAGCCTAATATCTTTTCCTTTAAGGAAACTCTTGACTCTAGGCTTGTTTTTCTCCCTGTGTAGACATTCTGGAGCCATGACTGCTGCTCTCTGGAGTCACAATGTTATCAACATAGACTCTGAAAAGACCTAGAGTGGGAAAAGAACACTTACTTAGTTTATGCATCATTTCCTAAAGATACTTGACTATAGAATACCCCCCCTTCAACATTATACCATAAAATTATTGAAGAACATCTTCACAAATACCAGCCTATGGAAAAATTAGCATTTCCATATAGAAAAATACTATGTGAGAGGTGTCCCACTAATGGATGTACTATCCAATTACTGCTATTTTGCCAATGCTCAAAATGAGGTGTTCTCTGATGTTGTAATCTGCTGACACCTAGTGCTGACACTTTTAGTATACACACACAATTTCCTTTGATGTATTTCTATCCTCTTAAATAAAACCCAAGTGCAGAATACCTTGGATTTAAATTCTTGGTTACCGTTATTATAGTGCACTTACATTAGAATACAATAATAGGATATATGTAAATGATTCACAGTATTAAAAAAAAAGTTTTAAATTTTTGCTTTTTTTCTAACCTATTAAAATGTCTCATGAAACTATACATATGAAAAATGTATTAGATACTTCTTGTTCTGACATTTAATGCCATACTAATGAAAGGTACTGAATTAGACTCTGTTTAGGGGACAGATTTGGAAGGTTCAGAGAGATCAGGTTATTTTACAAAAAAAAATGAAGTCTATTACTGGAACAACTATTAAACATGGTTCTCTTAGTAAACTCTTGAACTTTTTCTTTTACCCCAAAATTACTCTCTGCCTTATAAAAGGAAAAAAGGATGAGAGGCAAAGGTAATACAAATGCATTCTCCTTTTCCAACAACAGTGGTTATTTGGTTCAGTAATTTATAACCTGTTAATTTGAATTGTGAATTGTTAGGTTTATGAAAATCAAGACAGCATCTGACCAACTTCTATATTTAAATTATCTCTGCATGTTTAATAATGTTAGTGCAAATGATGCCTACTTGTATATATTCCAACAGGGTATTTGTTGGTAGTTCAAGAAAACTAGATCTCATTATTTTAATAAAAATTTTGGTTCTATAAAATCCCAGTAAGTCAATTTTAATTGAGTATCATTTGATAACTCATTTAGTTTTATTAAGTTAGGCTTTGTATTTTGAGTAGAAAAATCCAAATTAAATAGCATCAAGTCTAACTATTGTTGAGAATCATAAAAACAATTCTTTGCCATGTATTTACCATGTCACTTACGCTACTAAATTGTGAGTTTAAGTATATGTATGTGTGCTTTGTGTAATTTCCATTTCTAGTAGGAATGTGGCACTGATAGTTAAAGTGCTGATTCTTTGTGGCATGCCTAGGCTACTGTGTGACCTGTTATCACTGCTATTAAAATTACTTTGAAATCTTTATCCATACACTTGTATATCCTTAGGTTTTCCTTTGATACAAAATCCTAACTCAATGTGAAGTCATGAACTCAAAACCCTCTTAAAGTACTCACTTGGACTACTGTTTTAGCTGAATATCAAAATTACAAATCTTGTAGAGAGTTGTATATTTTTAAGGAACCTATACCTGGTTCTCAGGCTGAGAAACACTAACATGGATTATGGCCATTCACTTGTTCAGTTATATTTGAGGCTACTGTGTGCCTGGCACAGGGAATCCAACAATCAACAACTGCTCTTCTGAACACCTTACAGTCTAATGGAGGAAGACAACAGACAAGTAACTATATAATTTCAGATACTGATAATGCTATAAAGAAAGTGAGCAGGATAAAGAGAATGCAGAATGAAAAGGATGAAGCTTCTTTTTCAGAAAGTTTAGTTAGGAATAGCTTTCATCAAGGGACACTTGTAACAGATACCTATTTTCCATAGCTTGGTAAAGTAGTACTAGAGCTTAAGACCTTAAGACAGGGATGTGCTGGCAGTGTTTGAGAATTAACAATTACCAAGGACACCAGTGTGGCAGAAGTCAGGAAAACAGTGACAGAGAAATGGTCAGAGGCCAGATCACACAGGGTCCTGATTTTAGTGATTCTTGGGGGGGTGGGAGGGGGGAGTGGGGGGGCTAGACTGTTTTAGATAGACTAGACTGAAATTCCTGTCTTTGAAACTTTTCATATCATTTTTACTGAGTTATCATTTACATACAACAAAAATGCACCCAATTAAGAGTACAAATTTGGGTGATTTTTATAAATATATATACATATCACTACCATCATCATCAAGATAAGAAATATTTCCATCCTCCCCCCAAATCTTCCTCTTTATTTTCATTCTTTGACCCCACCAGAGCCAGGGACTCATTGCAATTTAGGAATTCACTTTTAAGTAGACTTTGAGGATTAGATGTGTGCTCATACAGTAAGTATTAGTAATATGTGGCAACTGAAATTAACAACTCAGCTACATTCCAAGTATTTAATAGCCACATGTGAATATTGGCTACCATATTGCGCAGGGCAGGCATAAAACTTCCCCATCACCATAAACAGATGTACTGAGCAATACTGAGATGTTACCTCAGTGAAAGGTGACCTTCACTACATGAAGACAGGTCAGGCAGCCAAAATATCAAGTAAGGCATGCAAGTCACATTATCTAGTTTTATGTTACTATATGCTTGCTATCTTTATCACCCAGTAATTAATAAACTTCCTGCTTGAGCCAGAGTGTTGAAGAATGGCTATATGATAATAGTAACAATAATTATCAAGTTGTTCACTACATAGAAATTCTTACTCATCAGTAAATTTAAAGAACAGCCTATTTTTAATATAAGAAATGGCAGTTTCCCTTATAAGTGAGAAGGTGCAATTTTGTTTCATGTAAAGTCAATCCTCAAAATCTTAGTCTTACTAAATCTAGTATGTGGGGTTTTTTTTGTTTTTTGTTTTTGTTGATGAAACATATGCTGAAATACTGAAATTTAGTAAACCGAGTTGTGGGTACAGGAATATTTTTCAGGATTTTTTTTTTTTTTGGTATACTTTCAAATGTTTAAAATGTTTTTAAAGTAAAAAGTAAGCTTTCATTTAAAATGCTGGACAAGTGTATTTATTGTTCATGGTATGATTAAACAATACAAGTTAAAAACAGTAGCATAATGGTCAATATAGCCGAAGAATCAATACAGGATAAAAGTTAGAGGTAGACTGCTTGGGTTTCAATCACAATTACAGATTACTAGCAATGAGACACTGAGCAAGTTACTTAACCTTTCTGTATTCATTTCCTTATCTGTAAAATAAGGATACTGTAGGGACTAAACAAATGCACATTGAAACCCTGGTACATAGTAGATACTCAAGAAATAATAGCTATTATGTTGATGATAGTTTGGTTTCTTCAAAAAAGAAAAACCCTAACTAACCCCAAAAAACGTTAATAATTATAATTAAAAGATTATGATCTTTAATTGAAACACATTCATTTTCGTTTGTTACTTATAGTCTAAATATTCTACATCAAGCAATCCCTTTTGTAATTAAAAACAACAGAAACTAGGCCTTCCCTGGTGGCGCATCAGGTTAAAGTATAGCACTATGAGGTGATCTGCAGCCACAGGAGCACAAATTCGATTACCTGCCAGGGAGGTGACCCACATGGCATGACAGATCTATCTTGACCCACCCTCAACCCCCTCAGCAGTGTATTTCAGTCAATCTGCCTGTTCTGCTCCCCATTCTGTCTCTGGTGAATCCTCTCACCCCTCTGCACCTCTGTCCTGTACCCCAGTTCTTATATGCATAAATAGATAAATCTTTAAAAATAAAAATAAAATAAAAAGCCCTTGAATTTCTTTAGGTTTCTACAATACCTACTTTAGTATTTAAGTCTCTCCAACGCCTATCCTAAGCTCTTAACGAAAGCTTGTGACTCAAAGTTTGATTATCTGGGATAGGTACCTGAAGTAACAATTAACTTTTAGTATAGATGTATATTTTATATGAGAGAGTTTATGGTTGATAAAGTTCACAAATCTTCCTTACCTTTTCCAACATTAGAGAAAAAAAATTGTGACGATTACTCTGTTAAGTGGATGTCTTTTGCTTTTACATTTACAAGGTTTGCTAAAAACAGTACCAGAAGGTAGATGTGTCATATTAGGAATTATGAAAAAAATTTTTTTAAACATTTCTTGACTTTTTTTAAAAAAGATTTATTCATGCATACAGAACTGGGGTACAAGCCAGAGGTGCAGGGGCAGTTAGAGGCTGCTGAGGGGAGCAGTGGGCAAGACAGGAGAGGTCTGCCATACCATGTGGATCACCTCCAGGCTGGGGACTGAACTCACACTGAAGTGGCTGCATATATATATATATAAACATCCTAAATATATATATCAAGCATATACATATAAAATATATATTTATTTATATGTATAAAGCATATATAATATATATAAAGCATATGTATATAATATATATAACATCCTAAAATCTCTATATATTCTTTTTAGCCAAATTTTGACAATTCAGATACAAATGTTGCTAGGCTGACAGCAGAAAAGGTATATAGCAGAGCAGCTAAAATTAGGTGTCGTTTATTTTTCACATGTGGACTACTGAGATAAGAACATATAGTATCTATCCCACAAATATCTTGTGAAAGTTATTAGGCAATTAAGATCATAGAAATTGAGAGAAAGAAGGAAGCCTATGTGTCTCACTTGAACAGAATAGAGGCTTTCTGCATTTCTACTGCCTTATAAGAAATATTGTCATATTTGCCCTAACAAAATTTTCTTTATTTCATAGGCACCTGTGTCTTCTAAGTGCCTGTAAAGAAATAATTCATATGTAGAACTTGGCCTCGCTAATTTCACTTACCCCTATTTAACTTTCTTGCTTTCTGAACTTTAAATGCATTTACAAACTCATTAAATAAGTGATTTCCAGGTTAAATAACCTAATTCTACAATTACCTGAAAATTAATCTCCTCTCCCTCTCCATGTTAACTGTGCTGAACACATAGGTATCTTTACTACTCTCCTCAAAAGTATAGCTCTTAAAGTTAAGAGAACTATAGTAACAAATGAGCTTATGTATGGGATTTACTATGGGAAAAATATTTCCAAGTAACCAAGGTTCCACAGGAGAAATAAACTGGATCAGTCAAGCGGAGTGTGCCTAAAGAGTAGGAAAGGCTGCTCCTTTAGCTTCAGCAGGGTGGAAACTGGTCATTTTGTGAAGATATGTTTCAGAATGCCATATTCAGGTGCAAATTAAAACAAAAAAACAACACATTGATCATATATATCATCAATATGGAAAATTTGGCTTGGTGCTGTTAAAACAGAAGAGCATGACAGCATTACTAATAGCCTTTAGAGTGTCTGTACTACAGACTGTTCGTTTAAAAACATCACATTCTATTTACTAAAAAAAACTAAAATAATTTACATGGCAGCTGCAGAAGACTCAAAGGACTTCATGGGCGGCACTGATGTCTCTATTTTGTGCCAAAGGCTTCACAAATTTTGAAATACTTCAATTATCTAGGGCTTCGGAAAGCAGTAACTTCCAGAATGATAAGTGAAAAGGGCCTGACTGCAAATAATAAAGTAGCAATTAGCTTTCAGTTAACATATGAATGTGCTTTTGCACTTAGAGATAGTTTCCTGGTGTGTAGGTCAGAAAGCCCTACTGCTTGCTGCCTTAAGGGTAAACATGTTTACCACCCCTCTAATCACTAAGAAAAGATCTAAGAGTAACAGCTCTTTTTTTCTTTTGTATTGTAAAAGGCATTCTCTGAGTTTGAGATACACTGGCAATTTGACCTAGCACAAATTACTTAATTCCTTCTAATCTCCATTTCCATAATTGTAAATGGAGTCAACAATACTCCATGAAGGTGTTACAGTACTGGTATAAGGATGAGAAGTACAACCATTATGTAAAGTAGAAAGCAATAGTAACCAGAAGTTGGTTATAATTTACATAATAATGGCTTAAATTTTTCTCCCTGTCTGTAAAACGGGTATAGATATTGGTCTGAATGGTTATCTAGTCACTGGCTGTGGGAACTTGAGCAAGTCATTTCATTTCCTGACCTGTTTCCTAATAGGTTTATTACGAAGAGTACATGATATCGTGTATGAAAATATTGTGACAGACATTGAGAACTTAATAAATAGCTGGTATGATTAGTCTGGGGGGAGGTTTGTAAAGAGCAAACAATAGCTAATAGGCTTTGTAGATGGACATTATATCTAAACAAACCCACAGTAATGTTATTTGTACTATAAACTGCAAACACATAGGGACAGCAAAACAAATGGCGTCTCAACCATTACCAGTAGAGGATGGGGGAGCAGAAAAGGGGGATTCAGGAGCTTCAGAGGTTTAGAATAGCGGTAAGAACAAGACTAGACGAGACTAGAGAAAGGGTCTCTCAGAAAAAGACGAGTTAAGGAGCACTAAGATAATCTCCCCTTAAAAAAAATCTTCATCCTAGATTAGACCCTTTAATTGAACTTCCCAGCCCGCTATATCGCTAGACATTTATTTACTGTACCTTCTTCACAGAAAACCTTTCATTCCCCTCCCCTTCTAGGAGTCCTGAACTTCAGGCCCTCAGCTTCCGATACCCATTACCTTGAGCTCTGTCTGTACCAAGCTTTCCTGTATCCTTCCCTCCGCCTACCGGCGGAAGTGAATCTGGGTGCACCGCAGGGCATCCTAGGAAATGTGGTATTTCACACCGCTTTACTTAGGCCTCTGAGTGGGTAAGAGGATAAAGGCGAGCCAGTTCAAACTACATCTCCCGGCAGGCCACAGGAGTGACTAGCCGCCTTTATAACCCGCTTCCTAATACCTTCCTCTTCCTCCTCGCCTCCGGCGCCATACCGCTAGGCCTCCCGGTACTTGTAGTTCCTTATGAGCCCAAGCTCTGAGCACCGGACGGCCAGGAGAGACACTGACCGACTCTAATTCCCAGAGGGCAGAGCGGAAGTTGCGCCTGCGCAATCTCAGTGAGGGCGTGTGTGTCTGTGTGTCTGAGGGAGAGAGAGCGAGAGTGAGTGAGTGTGAGTGCGGGGTAGGGTGGTGGCCGTTACGTTCGGGGCAACGGCTACGGCAGTGGAGAAGTAAGAAGAGAAACAACGTCCGGCGCTTCCGCCTTCGCTAAGGAGGAGGAGGAGCTGGTAGGGAAAGGAAAGTGATTCGCCCGGGGCCTGGACTAGACCGAGTCGGGCCGGTGGGGTCTGGGCTATGAGCCTTTGAGGGTCGCTTGGGACGCGGAGCGAGACGCGAGAGCCGAGAGCTATGTCTCAGCCGCCGCCGCCGCCTCCGCTGCCGCCGCCACCTCCTCCCCCCGAGGCTCCACAGACTCCGCCGCCTCTGGCGGCCGCCGCCGGGTCTGCTCCGGGGGGGCTCTCGAAGCGGAGAGACCGGAGAATCCTCTCCGGGAGCTGCCCGGATCCGAAGTGCCAGGCGCGGCTGTTCTTCCCGGCCTCTGGTTCTGTCAGCATCGAGTGTACGGAGTGCGGACAGCGGCACGAGCAGCAACAGCTGCTGGGGGTGGAGGAGGTGACCGACCCGGACGTAGTGCTACACAACCTACTGCGGAACGCGCTACTCGGAGTGACGGGGGCACCCAAGAAGAACACGGAACTGGTAAAGGTGATGGGCCTTTCTAACTACCACTGCAAATTGTTGTCTCCCATATTAGCTCGCTATGGAATGGACAAACAGACAGGCCGGGCTAAGCTTCTCCGGGACATGAACCAGGGCGAACTGTTCGATTGTGCTTTACTGGGTGACCGCGCCTTCCTCATCGAACCAGAGCATGTTAACACAGTGGGCTATGGCAAGGACCGCTCCGGAAGCCTCCTCTATTTGCATGACACTCTTGAAGACATCAAGCGGGCCAATAAAAGTCAGGAATGCCTTATTCCAGTGCATGTGGACGGGGATGGACACTGTCTGGTGCATGCTGTGTCCAGGGCTCTGGTAGGCCGGGAGCTTTTCTGGCATGCCTTGAGAGAGAATCTTAAACAGCACTTTCAGCAGCACCTGGCCCGATATCAAGCCCTGTTCCATGACTTCATTGATGCCGCTGAGTGGGAGGACATTATCAATGAGTGTGACCCTCTGTTTGTACCACCGGAAGGTGTTCCCTTGGGCCTGAGGAACATCCACATATTTGGTCTTGCCAATGTGTTACATCGCCCTATTATTCTGTTAGATTCTCTCAGTGGCATGAGAAGCTCTGGTGATTATTCAGCCACCTTCCTGCCAGGGCTCATCCCTGCAGAGAAGTGCACTGGGAGAGATGGTCATTTGAACAAACCAATCTGTATTGCATGGAGTAGCTCTGGTAGAAACCACTATATCCCCTTGGTAGGTATAAAAGGGGCGGCTTTGCCCAAACTGCCTATGAATTTGCTTCCTAAAGCATGGGGCGTACCTCAGGACCTTATTAAAAAGTACATCAAACTTGAAGAGGATGGTGGTTGTGTTATTGGGGGAGATAGAAGTTTGCAAGATAAATACTTACTTAGGCTTGTTGCTGCTATGGAAGAAGTCTTTATGGACAAACACGGTATCCATCCTAGTTTGGTTGCTGATGTCCATCAGTATTTCTACAGGAGGACTGGAGTGATAGGAGTTCAGCCTGAAGAAGTCACAGCAGCTGCTAAAAAGGCAGTAATGGATAATCGTCTTCACAAGTGTTTGCTCTGTGGTGCCCTTTCTGAACTTCATGTTCCTCCAGAGTGGTTGGCTCCAGGAGGGAAACTGTATAACCTGGCAAAAAGTACTCATGGACAGCTGAGGCCTGACAAAAATTACAGCTTTCCCTTGAACAATTTGGTTTGCTCATATGATTCAGTGAAAGATGTTCTGGTACCAGACTATGGATTGAGTAACCTGACAGCTTGCAGTTGGTGCCATGGCACATCTGTGCGAAGGGTCAGAGGAGATGGGTCTATTGTATATTTGGATGGGGACAGAACTAATACGAGGTCCACTGGTGGCAAATGTGGTTGTGGATTCAAACATTTTTGGGATGGTAAAGAGTATGACAATCTACCAGAAGCTTTTCCTATTACTTTGGAATGGGGTGGAAGAGTGGTCAGAGAAACAGTTTATTGGTTTCAGTATGAAAGTAATTCATCTTTGAATAGTAATGTTTATGATGTTGCCATGAAACTTGTTACCAAGCACTTTCCAGGTGAATTTGGGAGTGAAATCCTAGTTCAGAAAGTTGTCCACACTATATTGCATCAAACTGCCAAAAAGAATCCTGATGATTATACTCCTGTAAATATAGATGGTGCTCATGCTCAAAGAGTTGGAGATGTTCAAGGCCAAGAGTCAGAGTCACAGCTCCCAACTAAAATTATTATTACTGGACAGAAAACAAAAACTTTGCACAAGGAGGAGTTAAATATGAGTAAAACCGAAAGAACTATTCAACAGAATATTACAGAACAAGCTTCTGTAATGCAGAAACGGAAAACAGAGAAGTTAAAACAAGAACAAAAAGGCCTGTCTAGGACTGTTTCTCCCAGTACCATTCGTGATGGTCCATCTTCTGCACCTGTTACCCCTACCAAGGCTCCCTATTCACCAACAACTTCTAAGGAGAAGAAGATCCGAATAACAACTAATGATGGGCGACAGTCCATGGTTACACTTAAGTCTTCCACAACCTATTTTGAACTTCAGGAAAGCATAGCCAGAGAATTCAACATTCCTCCGTATTTACAGTGTATTCGATATGGCTTTCCACCTAAAGAGTTAATGCCGCCCCAAGCAGGAATGGAAAAGGAACCCGTTCCTTTGCAGCATGGTGACAGAATTACAATAGAGATTCTAAAAAGTAAAGCAGAAGGTGGTCAGTCTGCTGCAGCACACTCAGCCCACTCTGTGAAACAAGAAGAAATTGCTGTTACTGGTAAACTTTCATCGAAGGAACTTCAGGAGCAAGCTGACAAAGAAATGTACTCCTTGTGTCTTTTAGCAACATTAATGGGTAAGATCCGTTTAATTCAGATGGTATTTATTAATTATGAATATAATATAGTTTGTGAAAAAACCCTGATTAACATAAAAATTATTTTCTTAAGTTTCTTGACAGTTAATGGGTAGATGTTTATGTGATTCTCTATTGCGTAAATATTAGGAAAACATAACTAAGAAAATGAAACTAGTCTCTTAACTGGATTTTTGAATATAGCTTACTCTTAAATTTTTTTTTCTCCAGAAACAGACTTGTATCCATTTCAGCCTTTTCATTCACCCTATTCTCACCCCGTTGTCTCAGTTATGCCTCTCCACCCTCTTTTTCATGTATTTTTACCGTTTTATTTTCCTGCATGTCATGTGATTTCAGGACTTCCTGTTTGATGAATTGCAGTTTCTTGTGTTTATATGTTCACTGTACTCCCAGCTAATAGTCTTTATCCTCTGTTTCCTGTTCTCCCTTTCCCAGTCATCACATTCTTCTTATTTGTACATTAGGATTTGTGTTTAAGTAATTGCTCAGTGACTTTTTGCTATCTATTGCAATGAAATAACATATATGAAACTTAAGAAATAAATGTGGTTTCCTTTTTAATAATTCAACATAAATAAAGGAAAATACATCGCTGGCCAAAATTACAAAGTTTTAGATGATTTGGGATATAGTCTAGTAGTGCACCATTTCATTATTTTTATTTACTTACTCTTTATTTTTAAGTGTTATTAATTGCTCAGACTTCAAGTAGAAGTAAAATTTAAACAGGATTACTTGTTAGAAAGACTTTATTTTTGCTGAAATTAGAGCTTTAGATGAGAAAAATGATGGGGGTTTTGATGGGGATTTTGATTGTGTCTTGTGAGATACTAAATTACCAGTGATTTGAGCTTTGACCTACCAAAATTCTTACTTATACCTCGCTTATTAAATTTGGAGACCTCTAAATTTGGAGACATCTAAAAGCCCTATACAAATTTATAACTTGATATTGCTGATTTTATTTTAACTGAAATAGTCATCGAATTGGGTGTTATATCAAGAAATGTATGGGGTAGGCACTTCATGTATTTCCATCAGAGTTTTTAAATTGCTTGGAGACAACATGGAAATAAAGGAAAGGTTGTGTGATCTTTGGAGTTAGAAAGACCTAGAATTTGAATCTTGGCTTCACTACTTAATTTTAGTGATTTCAAGCAAACTTTTTGATTCCCCAGTGCTTTAGTTGCTTCCTCTAATACAAAATACCCCTTGTAGTGGGTATACAGGATAATAGTAAAGTATTCCTAGAAATCTGAAAACTAAAAATAGAATGGATAAAATTAGGTATGTGCAGAAAACACCTTTAAAAACTCATAATTTTCCAGGTCAAAACCAGGAAGCATGTCTTCCACAGTAGAAAATGATTCTTGAGGATGTGGTTCCTATCGAACGGTGATGCTCAGTGCCTGGTATAGGCCTATCAGGTAGTAGGCACTTTGAAATACCTTTTTTTATTGGGTGAATTAAGTAAGTGATATTAACTTGTTTAAAGAAAGGCTTAAGTAGAAAGAGCAGAAATGTAATGGTCAGCACAGAACCTGGAAAAAGGTGAAAATCAGACTTTGGTGATTATATACTGCTATACAAAAGGAACAGGTAGATCATCCCCAGTT